ATTGGCTTAAAAGATTCGCGCCACCTTTTCATCCAATCAGAAGTAAAACCAAAGCCAATTGTGACGCGCTCGCATGCATTTTCCCGCGCTTTGCTTCAGCCACATGTAATTACTTCGAGTTTTGATTGGTTCAATGTATTGTCTGTGTCCTATGTGATTGGCCAGAGTAATTACTTTGGTTTTGGTTTTACGACACTCAAACGAAAACCACTCTAGCTCTGAACTCCAGTTATGCTGACATCCGAGCTTACTGCTAACATGTTAATATATAATGTTGTCCTCTCATCTACGACATTTCATTTCATTCATTCATGAATACTGGCAAATTATTGGTCAAAGATACTGTGCCGCGTTGTTAAGAATTTGGTGAAGAAAATAATAGCACAATATAATATAGAAAGTCTGTTTCGAGACTTCTCGAAGTCCGCCTTTTCACCTGAAGCACCGCTAGATAGGACGGGGTGTGGTTTTTACCCTCTTTGCCCTGACATTTTGTATCATTGTACCGCGGTTCCAAAGATGACAGTCTTAATGTAAAGAGAGTTTACTGAAATAATGTGACGTTTAAAGTTACTTTGGTAAGATGAAAGAGAAATCGTCAAGGTCTGTCTTCTTTTCTTGTTTACGTCCGGTTTAAAAATAATAGACACCTCACTGACCTATTGTTTTCAGTCCGTCGTAACCGTCTACTTTATTATACCTCTGTTGCGATTCTTGTTTATTAATATTGAAATAAATCTGTGAAAATGTTCGTTGTTGTAAGAAACGTTATCAGTAATATCAGGAGCCTATAGGCTCCAGGTAATAAGAAAATGGCATGACTTTACTTTGGTTAACGCCAAGGATCAAAACGCTAAGATAAGGTCCCATCGCGCCGGCTAATGTACCGGTTTGCAACGACTCATGTTTGGAACTTAAAACATGACAAGCTAATTTCAAAATTTAATAATTCGCGAAAAAGGTGTCAAATAGTCAATTTCGGAGAAGTGGAGGTCGGAAACCTAACAACATTATGGCTACACCATAACAAACAGTTTCCACTGTAATTGCGGAAGTCCTCTTCGAAACAAACGTGACATATTTAGGTCTATTGTCAAGGATGATCACGTACATAGACTATCCTTGGCAAGAAAATGTCATTTTAATTTTGTCTTATTTCCTATTGTTCTTTTGTTCTTTGTTACTAATATTAATTTTAAGGACGATCAAACTGAACCTACTTTTGAAATGACTCCTGGGTTCAAACCTTTCACATTAATTTTGAGGCTGACGTTTATCTCAATATATATATAGAATATTTCATAGACAGTGCGGGCGTACGTTATTTACGCAAAAGTTGATCACGTATCCGGAAATCTCACTCTTTCGCTGCGATCACTTGTTCCTTTTCTGATAAACGAGTTTTAAATACCGTGCGTGCGCACTTCCCGTGTGGTATTGTGTTTATTCACCATTCTGCCCCATAAAATTTTATCAGTTTCGAAAATACTAAAGTGATAAAAACGACGTAAGCTTTTGAAAACTATTGTTAAAAATTATAATGAGGTTAAGGCGTATATTAAGGTAATACCATTGTCTACAGTTAAAAAAATGATATCAAAATCAGAGGCAATTTGAGTGAAATGATGAGGTTTGAATAGCTAAAGCCGACAAAATAAACCCAGTTGTAAGTACGACTTAAGCTTACGCCTGGTCTGTTTTGTTTTTTCTTTTTTTTTTTTTTCTTTTCATTTCTACTGTTGTTTTGTAAGCTCTACGATGTCTACAATTTTCTTGCTCTGTTCTTCACTCTTCTATGAAAAAAAAGACTCTCCTTCTCTCAAAAAATTATCGTTGAATGACCTAGACAAGACAAGAACGTTCATTTATATCACGCACGGAAAAAAAGACAAGGCTACTCACGTAAGGTACAAGCCACCTAGAAAATATCTAAAAAGCTAATCTATCTAGTATGATCGCCCATCTGGGGCTAAGAAACAGGCGCGAAACTCAAGCACCGCGCGCGGTGCCTTTGCATTGGACAACTGTTTTTCTCGCCGTTGAATAACGTCGTTCGCTCATTTGATTGGATAGAGCCCATTTGCGCATGAAAGTTTACGACATAGCTTTTCAGTGAGTATAGCTGTCCTAAAGCGTGACCAACTGATCTGAAAGCAGCAGTACGTTGAGCAATAATGTTACTGAACTGACTGCAGTATAAACTGACTCAGCTTGTTTTAAAAGACGTAATGTGTGTAGTGCAACTAATACTTTGCACCCCCTCTTGGGCTTTTTTTCCTTAATCCCTTCTCTGTTCCTAGCCTGTTAAAACAGCCGTCTCTCCTCCCTTGTCGCCGCTAGTGACCGCTTTTTTTACAGGCTCCTCTATTCTCTTTTCTCTACAGGAAAGAGTAGCTTGTGTATCTGTCGAGCCGCGAAAGCGGGTGCAAAGCGCATGAACGAACAGCGAAACTGTGAGGGGCGGTTTTAGTCCCTTCGCCGCTCGCTGCCCCTCCTCTACAAAACCAGCAGCTGCCCAGGCTAAGGAAAGAGCAAAACCTTACAGTATGTGCACAGTATCGGATATCGCTTTTCAACATGCTCCTAAGGCCTAAAGCTTAAGTAACATTCACACTGTTTTGCTCATTCCAAACACTTTTTAAAAAAGCTTAAAAGCTCTTGGTGAGTTTGAAATAGGCACCTCTCCCTCGCTTGATCTGAAACTAAATAAATGCTCTCACAACGGCTCTAATTATATCGTGTAAGGTATGTTATAGAGCGTCTATAGACATGATTCAAACCTTGATTAAAACTGCCATACGCGTTTTTTTTAGTGATACTATCTATGGTAGTGCTCTTTTTGTGTTGTACAGAATAATTTTACCACATATATGTCAGTTTGCTAACGAAGTTGCGGAATAAAAGCTAAAATACTAGGTTTTGTGCTGTAATTTGTTTTCGGGTTGTTATATATACTTTTTCTTTTATTATTTAGTTTTATTAATGGTTAAATAAACACTAAAATGTTCCATTTTTATGTTCCATCAGTTTAAAGTGTAAGAGTTTAAACGGCTGACACGGCTGTCACCA